GGACTGTGAACATCTTGGAGAATGCGAGCACAATTCAAAAGAATCTTGACAGATTGGAAAGTTAGGGTAGAGCTAACAGGATGAAGCTCAATGTGGACAAATGCAAGGTGCTACACCCTAGGAAGAATAACCAAAAACATAAATGTAAAATGGGTGACAGTTGGCTGGATGGCAGCACTATGGAAAAAGATTTGGGAGCCTTGGTAGATATAAGTCTGAAGTATGATACAGCCATGCAAGGCAAATGTGGTTTTGGGATGCGTTAATAGACACATTCGGTGCAAGACACAGAAGGTGATGGTGCCTCTACTCAGGTCTAGTTAGGTCTCATCTGGAGTACTGGGTGCAGTTCTTGCCTCCACATTTTAGAAAGGATTTGGAAAAATTAGAAAGGGTCCAGAGGTGGCAACAAAGAAGATAAAGGGCTTGGAAAGCAAGTCATATGAGGAAAAGTTGAAGGAGCTAGGCATGCTCAGCTTGTGGAGGAGACACAATAGCAGTTTTCAAATACCCGATGGGCTGCCATAAAGAAGAGGAAAAATACCTTTTCTCTCTTCCTGCAGAAAAGAGGACATGGGCCAATGGCTTGAACTTGCAGCAAAGTAAGTTTAGATTGGACACCCAGAAAACTTGTTTACTGTTAGAACAGTGAGGCAGCAGAACAGACTGCCTAGGGAAGCTGTGGACTCTAAATCACTAGAGGTATTCAAAAAGAGGTTGGACAGCCAGCGGTTGGGATGATTTAGCCATACTGTGGCTTCTGGGATTTGCTGCTTGCCCCCCACCCCGCCTTTCTGTTATGCATGTTAGGGTGTTTTTAAGCCTCCCTTGGAGGCACTGAGTGTTGGCTACATCCAAGGCTGGAGACTTTGACTGGGATGTGCGCAGGTTCCTCCGGGGATCAAAACCAGAGGTTCCAGGCTACAGGGTCTTGCTTCTCTGCTCAGGGTCAGACCAATTACCACATTTGGAGGAAAGAATTTTATCCTGTGGTCAGACTGGTATGGACTGTGGGGGTTTTGTGGCCCTCTACCTGGGATCACTTGAGTACATATTGACAACATTTTTATAGAAGGAAGACACTGGATGCCATAGTTCTGCTGCTTTACTTGTGGCAAATTAGTGTGTTGGGTCTGTGTGATGTCAGGGTTGATGGGAGTCTTATGTAGAGTTTAGATTATGGATTGAAAGGATGGTTTGAATAGGGATGATCCTCCCTCAGGCAAAGGGTTGGGACAGATTGCTGCTGGAGGTCCCTTCTCACCCTATTTCTCTATGATTCTACGAACTGAAATAGACTATTAATGGATGGGAGACAACAGTGATGACGTTTAAAAAAAGAGATGAACACATTTTAGATTTAGTTCAAGTCATCTAGAGTCACTTAGAACAGCTTACAATACATTAACAGCAGTATGCAGAAAAGATAGCTTTATTACAGAATTTTATAAACTGCTGGTAACATTATGGCATTTTTCAATTGTTTTCTATTTATACAAAATGTTCACATATGTTTTCAATAGTAAATTAAGAAAATGAACCACCCACAGTATGCGACACTGCTGTTTTTCCTTCTCATTTATATCGTAAAACTGTTTAAGTGTTAGCATGTGCTATGCCAGAGTGTATGAAAACAAAATACTTTTGCACAGAGAAGCCAGAATGGGAAAGGGGGAAAAAACAAGAAATGAGGTCACACATATTAGAACTGCTGTATATCCTTGAGAAGCATTTTGGTAATTAAAATATAATGAAAAATTATAGACATATGCATAGTAGGTTTTGGAAACAATTATAAGCAGAATCCACCAGAAATTGTGGGGGTTGACTTCATCATACCAAATTCAGCATTTGTAATAAGATATTCAAGTTTCTATGCATGTAGGAAGAAACACATTTCATGAAAGACTATCTGTTTTTCCTTTTTGGATGGTGGAGAGAGAACTGCAACTTATCAAAACAGGTTGTGATTACATTCTTTCCTATCCTGGCAAATTTATGCAAACAGTTGAGTATAAGCATAAGAGCAGCAGGCTCAGCTGTTTTTTTTTGTCCCCCATATTGATTATTTAATTTAAATATCCAAGCTTATTAAAAACTCAAGACACAAAGACAAGCACATTTGTCAAGGAACAATCTATTTGCTGAATCTCACTGTAATACAATACACTGAATGGTAAAATGTGCATCCTGGAACACACAGAGGATTCAATGAAACAGGGTTGTTTGCCTATGTCAGTGTTTCTCAATCTGTGGTCCACAGACCCGTGGAGGTTCTGTGGACCACGTCTAGAATATTCATGAAAGGTGGCTGTAAAAATGGTGGCGCCACCCCAAAGAAAAGTGCCATCAGTGCTGCTGCTGCTCCAGCTCCCTCTGTGGCCAGAGGCCACCAACACGCCAGCAGCAGGCAGCCCAGAGCCACCAGACAGAGCTCAGCTGGACAGCCCTATCTCATCCTGCTACTGCCACTACTTCACATAGGACTGCAGCCCTGTGGCCCCTCTACTCGCTTGGCGATTATCAATCTACAAACTGGAACAGGAGAAGGGGGGAATGGGGAGAGAGAGAATGTTCTCTGTACACACAATAGATTCCAAAGGGGTCCGTGCCCCCATTCAAAACTTTTTAGGGGTTTGCAAATGAAAAAAGTTGAAAATCACTGGCTTACATCTCTGAACAACAAGTTGGGTATATATGCCTTACATTCTTGGTTATGGATGGACTTATGTCCATCATAATACAATTAATGTGGGATGAATCTGCTGCTACAGTTGGTAATATCTAGACCAACTATATAGCTGGAAGAGATGGTAAACAACCTTTTGGACAAAAAGTGCCCTTCCTCAGGCCTTGCAAAGAAGCAGATACAGCCTATACTAAATATAAGGTAGAATGATTAAGTTTGCTTGACCTCATTAGGTAAATAAAAGGATTCCCTTGAAGAATTAAGTTGGCAATAAACCTCACAAAGAGAATTTATCAGAAGCCATTATATACCAAATACAGAATAGGTGAGATAGATAAAAATAATTATGTAAAATAATAGTACTATTCAGTATAGAAGAGAGCTGTTCTTACAGCAAGAGTACAGAGAGATTGGCAGAGGAAGCAGGTAAATTACGAGCTACAAAACCACTGTCTGTTAATCCCACGACTTTTGCGTCCAGTCAAATTTATGATTCCCTCCATGCCTATCTTTTGAAGGTACTGTGTAGGATTCCCTTGAGAACTAGGTCTGTGAGTTTAGATGGAATGGCTGTTCCATAAAAAAGTGTTTTCCCACTGGGGACTGGATGTTTCTCTCTGTTGTTTTTTTCTGGGAAAGTTCATTCTGAAGCAGAGAGGTTGCTTAGTTTCACCAGCAGATTTTTCCATGAGGCAGGTGTAGGATCCATACATTCTGTTATTTTCTTGTGGGGGTTGTTGATTGTGGTGATGGTGGAGATGTGCTAGCGGAACTATATCCTACCTAAACAACAAATGTAAAACCTGTCAACACTATCAACATACCCTGCAACAAAACTATTACAATTCATGGACCTTTCCCATGCTTTTCTCAGTGTGCAATAACTTTATCAAATGTACCAAATGCACTCAAGCCCAGAAGGCTTCAGGCATTCTGAGCTACTTAGAACACAATGGTCTCTAGGCCTTTATATAAATCTGAAAATCAAAGTTAACTTGAAAGTTAAAGTGAACTATCCAAGCAAGTGTTCAGATATTACTCTCTCCAATCTTAATTAGAAGAACCTCAGTTAGAGGGAAACCATAGCTGTATCATTTTATGATAAGATATTTTCTTTGATTTGTAGTATGGAGGACAGCCTCTTGTAAGGTGAGTTACACTTAGTTTTCAGAAAATACCTAGACTTATATACCAGCATTTGTTTCTAAGCAGTTTTGATTCAAAGGTAGTTTTGCAATAACCTTTTCACATTTGTTGTAGTCAAAAACAGTAATCACCTCAATCAAATTACCGAAAATGCATCTAAATCAACTTAACAGGTTTATTAGCTTGGAAACCAAGAGAGAACAATAAATACAGTACAGCAATATGCAACAAACAAACAAAAAGCTCAAGTGTAGATTCTTGCCACTAAAAAAATAAATAATATTTCCTGGATATTAAAATTCATATGGCACATTAATGACAACTCACATTACTATTTTAAGCCATTTGCTTCATTTAATGAAGCAAAGTGGGGAAAATACAATAACTAGAAAAAAAATTCAGAACAGCTGTTCAAAACTAGCAATGAGCTGATATCAAAGTACAGTAACTGACCACCGCAAATATTCAAATACAGTTCATCCCACAAATGAGGACAGGGAAAGTCAAGAAAATAGTCTGAGCAGAAAAAAATAGCTACAAGTTACTGTGGCTATGGCTCAGACTCCTTGGTCTGTCAAATTCATTTTGTGCCACTTACATACAAAATTAATAAAAGAAACCAGAGACTTCCACTGAAGAATATTCCCCTATGCAAGTGAAGAGTGGCATAAAGGAAAAACTGTAAGCCAGGGCAAAGGAAGGGAGGAAGAGGCATGGTGGAGAGAGGCTTTCCTAAATGTGATTCTCCATTAACCCGAAGTCTCTGAAGTACCTTATGCCAAAGACTTAATTTATATCTCCCATGTGCAGCTTTGAGGCCCTTTGGGCATGGTGGAGAATCCAGTCCTTTGCGTGCTTTATAAAAACTCAATTTTCTATTAAGGTTTCCTCAGGAAAGTCACAATTTTATATTAAGAAAAGTATATGATTCATCACGCAAATCACTGTAATAAAATTTAACTGTTCACGTAATTATACCTGTATTCAACTGGTTAGCTCAACAAGGGATGCTATTAGATATCAGCAGAGATTCTATAGAATTTAGTGTAAGTGGCTTTTTCTTTTTGCAGCATTGTGAGAGAACATTTTTCTTTCTATTCACTTTTTCCATTCTGATTGGTGACTCACAAAAGAATGCTACAATGGAGAGATCAGACTGATCTCCCAAGCACAGATCTTCCTATTGGCTTATTTGCCTAAAACAAAGATAACAGGATGATATAAATGAGATAGAGGTCAAGGCATTGCCAAAATAAGCACTCAAGAAGCAAGTAGGTTTTATGCCCCTGGCTTTGGCTCTTTGTCTTTCTTCCTGATCTCTATTCCCTCTTCTTTAGTATTATCTATCTCCTCAGTGCAGCAACCATGGAATAATATAGAACTTAAAAAGCCCATCTTCTTTTTGCATGAAAGGTACCACAAAACACAAATATATAACTACACAACAAATTCTGAAATTACGCGCTCACTGGTTATTATATGCACCCAGAGGCATACCTGGGCACTTCTGCGCCTTGGGCAGTGGCAGTGCATGGTGAACATAAATGGCTGTGCTCCTGGCAGCAGTCACAGCAGCTGCTGTTTTCATGCCTTTCACTATGCCCTCTTCTGCCTGCCCTGACTCAGTGCCCAGAGTGGGTGCCGTGGTCATCCCCCTCCCCCACACCAAGCCTTCATTCTTAATCAAAGTCAGTGTCTTGTAAGCAGGGGTTATTAAGAGAAACCATTTCCTTCCTCACTGCCTTGCAAACATTTTAGATTTCTACATTTATCAACTCCACAGCAAAACAAACATTCTGCTTGTTCAAAATCTCTTAGCGAACAGATTCTTTGAAAGATTTTTCGAAATCTCTCACAGAAAATAAATACTGTTATCATCATTGTTATATTACTATTCTTGTGGGGCCAGATATAAAAGCATATTTAGGTGTCTTTGATTGGTGGATCTGAATGGAAGTTTAAGTGCCTAAGCACTTTTTGGATCTGGCTCATCTTGGAGGTAGGTCTCCATTGCATTTTTGGCATATTCCAACAGAGACACACCAAAGCATATCCCAGCTGCTCACACCCACCAAATGCAGAAATGTGGTGGTGAAGCCATTCTAGGGGCAACCCAAGCCATTTTTCAAGCGTGCCTGAGAGTGAGGTCCCAGGAGCAGCCATAGGGCTCAGCCCTAGTGTGGTTTTACCATAGAAGCAGGTAGGCAGAGCAAGATGGGAATGCAATGAAGACATAGCAATACCTACGGTGGTGCCTAAGCTCAAATCAATAAAAAGGTAACTACATATGTTTTTGATATGGTTCCACGATAGCGCAAATAACAATAAAGTTCCTGTTGTCCATGAATCAAATCAGGGGCCTAACCTCAGGTCTCTCTCATCCCAAGCAAGTGCCCTGACAATGAGGGTACTAGGTACTCTGGGGTGACGCACGTTCTCACTGTTTCTCCAATAATTCCATCCTGCACTTTTGTCCCAAATTTGCTTAAAAATAATAGTCTTGTGAAATGAGCATTGTCTGGTGAACAACCATCGTGTTGAAAAATGCCTGAGTACCTGCAATAGTTAGCTATTTCTATAGCACTTGTATGAAGCAACTAAAAGAAGAAATCTTCATCACAGCATAAATAAAGGGCGGGTGGAAGGAACACGTTCACTTACTTTCAGGCTGTCTTATTTCCCTTTGTGTCTATTTGTAAATGTGTATTAATGTTCCAAAGCTTCAAAATTTTCTGATTTTCAGTTATTCATATCATTTAAAAGTTAAAATAATGTAAAAGTGCACTGTGACATAAGCCTGCTCACATTCCTTAATTGCAAGTTTATTTTAAGAAATTTTCCTTTAATAGCTTTTGAGTCAAATCCAGACCCGAGGTAATACCTCAATTAATGTTAATGGAATTACAAAAGTAAGCATGAACTTTGCCCATTGTTTCTTAATCATAATTTTCTGAGTCTTTTAATGGTAGAAATTGTTATTTTTTCCAGAAGATTTTGTGTACTACCTTTATTCCAAAGCAAATATTGTTGACGACTCAGAATTTCTTTATTTAGCTGGGAAAACAGGCATGCACTTGTCTGTATGGGAAACAGAACTTACTCAGAGGTTGGTCCAAGGCTTTGAAATGAGCAACTCAAACTGAGGACCCTCACCACCTTCCACGCCAAGAGCAGGCTATTTATCCTTATTCTTTCCTTCTCTCCCACACACATAGCAGCATATATTTAAAAAAACAACTAGACAAGCAATCCATTACACATATTGCTCCCCTCCACTCACCCTTGAAAGACAGCAAGGGGTATGTATACCTGCACTGGCTATGTGCTGCTTTTGTGGCTACCACTAACAAATGAGGCTTGTCCCCTGCTCATACTCCAAAATCAGGAATAGGGCAGTGAGGACATTCTGGGAGGACCTACTGCTACTATGCCCAAGATCTGAAGATGTGTAAGTGGCAGCAGGGCTGCCAGGAAGCATCCTCACTGCCTTCATTCTACAAAAAAAGCTATGTTTGTACCATACCATGCTTTTAGAGTGATTTATTTCATTATCAGTATCATGCCTAATGGTCCTACTCAGCAATCAAGGCTTTGTACAAAGTAAAAATCAAGTCCTTGTTTTAAGGGCCTGGGGCATGATTCTCAATTACACTGCTCTGACAGTGCAGTTGTCAATGTAAATAATAGGGCCCTGTAACACCTGGATTCAGTCTAAGCTTAAAATGTTTCAACTCAAAGCAACAAATATTATACCTGCTGTTCCATTATTGAAAAACAGTCCTGATAATTCAGTATGTAAGCTCTCTATCCTCTGAGTCAAAACTGAATAAGAACTCAGGTATGGTGCTGTGGAAGAGGTCACTACAACTACTAGAGACACTGTTTCTCAGAGACTTGGAACATCATCAACTCTGTTTATTAGTAATCCTAGGGGTTGGCTCTGGTGTACAGTAGTGCCTTAGGCTAGGGACAGACATTACACATAAACTGGTTTAAGTTATCAGAAATTGGTTTAAACCTGTAACAGAACAGATGTTCAGTGCACATAAACCAGTTTGAAAATGGCTGAAACCAGTTTGAGATGAAGCTGGTTGAACGTAGTATCAGACTTAACTGATTTGGCTCAAACCAGTTTTTGCAATGTCTGTCCCCACTTGCTGACTGAAGATAAATCAGAGTCCCCCAGC